TTGTAGCTACCCTGGGTCCGTATAAATGCTATGTTGCTATACCTCTTACACACCTATATAAGTTCAATGCAAGAATGAGACTTCAAAGCTGTGGATTGCTGTGCGTGTGTAAAGGTTATCGAGCGGTTGACGGAAAGGGAACTTGAAGTACTGTACCTGGTAACTGAATTGTAGTTACCCTGGGTATCTATACCTGCGCCAGCTGAGTAAGAAGGGGGGTTCGGGGGGGTGGCCTGAGAAAGCACACTCGAAAGTAAAAACGCCGGCTTTCGTTTTGCAGCTTCTCAGGTTTTGTCACAGGTTCTGAGTAATGGTTGTTGATTTTGGAAAAGGTTCTGTATCACTATGTTATATACATACCTTGAGTCCCAGGATTTGCAAAACCAAAGTGAAGCAATGTCGGACAGGACGAGATGATCCCCCCGGCACACTCTCGGATGCTTCATGCTCGAGCAGAGAAGTCGAGGTTGCGACGAAACGTTGCAGTTTCCTCAACTCAAAGTCTTTGATTTGTGGAGGTTTGGTGGGTTTGTGCGTTGGTGCCAAGGTCTTTCCAGACGGCCAACACAATGATACCTGGGAGAAGGGTGGTGACGAGCAACTCTGACGAACCGACAACGCGATGCAGAAGCCAAGGGTCATGTTTCATTTTGTGCCCAGAGCACCTGGCTGCAAGGTATTGGAAAGTGCAGGCCACCTTTTTGCAGGCGAGTGGGCACTTTTTCTCCGTTTGCTGGGTTCAAAGGCACGGGGAGATGGATCATGAAGGATTTCTGGGAGAGGTGGCCCCGTTCATATCAACCGGGGCTTCTACCCAGTGCTTGGATGCTCCCATGCCAGGAGTGTTTGGCGCAAGACGGCGCCAAGGCAGGATTGGCTCATCTGAAGCTAGGAGCCTTTTGCAACTCTGGAGTTGAATGCCTACACGATCGACACTGCTGTTTTGGATGAAAGTAGCTATCACACGGAAAGAATGTGTACGCGCACAGTCACACGAATCAGAATTTACATGAACAGGATGTTTGTGCATGCCGGTGTGCACCAACAAAGGTGTATTTTGATTACCGTACATATTTGATACCGTTTTGTTTGCGAAAGGTGCGGAGTATACAGTACCTTTTGTGAGATGCACCGGGCGTGGCCAGTGACTTCGGAAATGTGCATTGGTCAGGGCAAGGTGCAACATCTGAGTCATGAACTGCGTGCCCCGCAGCGGACGAGATAAAATCGATGTTTGAGGGTAGGGTTCCCTGATGCTGCCCCCATCTCAGCGTGGTACAGGCACGGCCCAAGATCGAGGTTGGGCGGAGCGCCTGCGCGACGGCGTCAAGGAGCGATGGCGGAGTCTGTTTGTCGGAAAGGACGCTGAAACATATCCGAGATGAAAGAGTTTGTTCTAACCCGGGGGCGGAATGTTTGTGGAACACACAAACTTGCTCCACATGCTCCATGACCAATTACGCAACAAACCCGTGTTCTTCTCTGACGAAGGAACGACACTGAAGATGGCTGGGAGACCGTTGATGCAAAAGGCTGAAGCCAGTCGCTCAGCTCTTTAGAGAGTTCCTCATGGCCTTGCACCTCGGCCTTGCCACCTTTGTCCCTCTCTTTGCAAGCACTCAAGTCATGTGATCTCTGCTCATTTGAAGCCATCTCACTTGATATATCCAAATTTGAAGGCACATTACCGGGTCTCCCCTTGTCACATTGTTTGATGTTATTGGTCTGATATACAGTACTATATATATATATACACATATATGCAGCTTCATTGCATATCAGCAAGTCGTTTGAAAAGCTTGGGTTTGCACAAGATAAATATGCACTGACATTTGGCCACGGGTGCCAAACAACTTGATCCAAAAAGGAAGCCTTTGTTGAGGGTTTTGTGTTTCTACGGCAGAACTTGATCCCGAGGCTGCAGACGTGCAGCCCACTTGTGTCGCACAAAGTGAGCCGAATTTGGCCGAAGGGGGCACGTTGCAAAGTCTCACTGCCCCAATAGCCCAGATCCTGGGAGGAGGCTGGAGAAGACAGGCCAAGTTGTCGAAGCGGGAGGGTCAATGCAAGTTAAGCTGTTTGTCCTGGCTTCGGTGAGCACACTTGGTTGTAAGATGTTGTCAAATCACAGAGCCGATCAGGACTGGGTTGGAACCATTACGACAGGTGCACAGCCTGTCCCAGCTGTGTCGACTACACCTCGCCCGAAAAGACTTGTGTGACCATCGTTCTTGAAACCACAAATTGGAAGACCCCAAGGATATGCGAGTGGGACCAAAAGATGAATGAACCAAAACCAAACTGAACCGGTGCGGTAGGTAGATTATACAGTTAGGTGACACAGATCATTGTTCATGTGAAATCCTACAATTTCGAAGTGACCGCATGTGTGTGCACAAAAACTGTCCTGGAGATAGGTGGCATCCTCGGCCGGGTTCAGAGAATCAACATTCGGTGAGAACGGGCTAGAATTTCCCAATGGATGGCAGATGATCATCACAGCAAGACTCCCACTTGAATTAGACAAGTTCCACTTCAGTGTCGAACATCCAGCCGAAGATCCAGCTCCATCATTTGCACAACTTTGACCTTCAGCCATGCTTCCTGAGCCATGTTGCGTTGGGCCACTTGGGCCCTGTTGTGGAGCAATGTGGCGGGAGAAGCCAAATTTGCCGAATTTGCCGAATGTAGATTCGGGACGCCAGCAGAAGTGGCAGAGATATGGGACAAGCAGACCTTGGCGTCTTTCTCCTTGTCTCAGCTGCAGGCCTTTGCAGCCCTTGCCTGTGGCCATTGTCCCCTACTCTCACGGGCCTTGCGCTGCCAGAAACGGAAGGTGAAACGGATGACCTCACCGGACTGGAAGTGGTTGGCCTTCTTGTATATGAAGGAGGAGGCCTTTTTGGCGAAGCGTCAGGCCCGGGTGGGGTTCTGTATTGCGGGGTTTGAATAGCCAATAGGATGAAACGGTTGAATACCTTAAGCCTGAGCTAGCAGCTCAAGGCCTAGTGATGCAACATCCCTCTCAGGTCCAGGGCATGGTGCAGCACGTGTGGCAGAACTACGAGGCTCGCGCCTTTGGAAAGGATGAGCTGAAACCTGTCTCGGGTCGCGGAGTGGACAGTTGGGGTGGCGTGGGGCAAACCCTGGTGGATTCCATGGACACGCTTTGGATGATGGGCTTTTACGAGGAATTTCACCGTGCTGCCACCTGGGCAGAGACACAATTGGACTTTGACAAGGACTTAAATGTAAACTACTTTGAGACCTCGATTCGCCATTTGGGTGGCTTGCTCTCTGCGTACATCTTCAGCCAACGTCCGGGGCTTCTCTTGAAAGCCATTGACCTGGCTGAGAGACTGGCGCATGCCTTTCCAAAGAGTGAGGCGGAGGTCGTGCCTGAAGAGAAAAGCCGGAAGATTGCGCGGACTGGCAGCCACCTCTCGCGCTGGTTGAGAGGTGCCAAAAACTTTTTGCAACAGGTGTTTGAGGTGGTTGAGGAGTCTGGCAGTGGAAACTATTCGGAGCTAGACATGGATGAACTTCCTGCGGATCTTTCTGAGCACCTGGCCAGCCCCAAGAAATTACCCAGGACGGAAGCGACGCTCCCCTTGTCGGATGTAAACTTGCGCACGGGCAAAGCTACAGACTTGGCGGGATATTTGTCCCTGTCCGACGCCAAGATGAATCACATGTTTGCAAGTTTCCTTTGTCCCCAGATGCCGAGAACTATGGTAATTCAATAAAAAGAATGAGCTGGCTGTGCGCACTTTCGAGACAGGGTGCCGGAGTTGGTGCTGCTGGGGCCAGTGCTGTGAGCTGGCAGTGCGCGTGGTGGAGACTGGGTGCCGGTGCTGTGCTGGTGCTGGTGCTGGGTGCTGGGTGCTGGGTGCTGGGTGCTGTGTGCTGGTGTTGTGAGCTGGCTGTGCGCGTGGTGGTGACTGATTATGGGTATGCCAAGAGGGATGCACAGATGTTCCTGGAGCGTATGCATACACCCTGAAATGTGCCGCGTACACTGACCAAGAGTAATCTTCGCAATCTGGGGTCTATGCTGTTGTAATTTGTTCTTTTGCTCGTTGCGTAGGTTCACAGAGGAAAAAGGAGGGTATTTGTCAAGCATCCAGTTGCAAGGCTTAAGGATGAACCCTGAAAGAATAGGATAGGACACAAACGGTATTTTTGTGTTTGTGGCAGAGGTACCGGACATCCGGTTCGAACCTTCAAGTGCTGGACATCCGGTTGCCAAATGACTTCCGTTGAGGGTGCGGGGATCGTTGTTCGGAGAGGTGCCCAACTGCCAACGTTGGCAATGCCAACTGAGCCACGTGCATCTCACACTTGCGCGATGTGACTTCGCTTCATAATCAGCTGATCCAAGGAGACCTATGTGCCGGTGGAGTGGAAAGTCCTGGCACTTCTCACCTCAAATTGTGATTATGTGAGGCATCAAGACCAGGCCCAGTTCGTGGTTGACTGGTGTCTCAGCACATCTCCTTGATATCCCGCTGTGGGCAGGTGTTGGAAGTGCTGAACCAGAGTGCTGATTTGGCATCCACAGGTTTGGGGGCCATTTTGTTGCGGACTCTTAACAGCAATTCAAGAGCAAAACGGGTGGAGAGGCTGCTTTTTGATTCCTTCCATGCCAATGCAATGTGAGATGTGGGGATGTCGAGCTTTTTTTTCTTCATGGCAAGTTTGGGCCTTGTGCAGGAAGAATGGTGACGTCCACGTTTTTTGGCAGCATTGGGATGCTCTCACTGAGTACATGTCTGATATGTCTGCCGGGAAGCCAAGGCTATCAATGACAACAGAATCTCTTTAGGGAGCCGAGGAGATTCCTTCTATGCGTCTTGGATGGGAAGCTCCAACGAAAGAACGAATACGAAGCTTCGGCCTTTCGGCAGATAAGGAATACCTCTTGAAGGACTCGATCTTTCTTGGCACACATGCCAATCCTATGGCTCGTGCCATGTGGGTTGCTTGGTTCGATATGACTGGGGTGACTTTGGGATGACCTCCTAGTTTGGGTGGGAGGGGATTTTGAAACTGTTTGTGCAGAGGTAGAGTTCAGGCAATCCTTTGTAAACGTAATTTCCGGGTCTCGGCAACATGCCTCTGGTGCTGAGGCTTCCTTCCGTGCCAAATTGCCTGGGCTCCTAGTCGAGACGCCTCCCAGGCACGGTGGAAGGACACAGTGAATGTACGTCATGTGTGCATATACGGATACTGTAGATCTCCTGGAGAGGGCGATGGATGGATAGATAGATGGATAGTAGATATTAGTAGATATATCTTTTCTGTGCGTGTGTAGAGACTGTGAAACTGAAAAGGTGGTGCAGGTGTAGTGGGACCAAGTGGTGCTTCCACACACCTTATTCCTGCGAATGCTCGAACTTTGTGACGTTCTCGGACGCTTTCGACCAACCTGCGGGGTTTGGCACTCAGCGCGCTTCAGTGGCACGTTTTGTTCTTCCATGAAGGACATCACTCAAGCCAGCGTGGTCAGCCTCCACACATTTCTGTGAGGAGCATAGCTCGACTTTTCGAGGAACCTTTGAGTCTAACAGTGTCGAGCACAGACATACGGATGTGTATTACAACATGTTACGACTCAAGAAGACTGACAGGAGATCAGCTGCGCGTTTGCACAAGTCACCGGCAAGTTGCCAGGGGGGGTCTTCATGAGCTATTTCCACCTTAGCTCTTTGGCTCTACAGGCCACCTTGTCCTCACATCATGAAACACATGCCAGAAACAAAATTGTCACGATCGGATCCCCCATCCTGACGTTCTATTTGCATCAACTTTGTGCACTCCGATGTTTGAAATGAAGGCTTAGAAGACTTTGCGATCTAGCATGTCATCACATCAGTTTCGAAGCACTAATTCCCTCTATTTGATGGGGCCATGTCACTGCAGCTACTCCCCAACAACCTGTGGCCATCCTCCTTTGTCTCAGCAACTCGCACTTGCTGTCTGACAAGTTTTCATCTCTCAATTGCCTATGATTTGCAGTCATGCCAAACCCGATGATCTGCAGCCACCAATGTCCCAGGCAAGCGATCCGCGGCCGACCCGACCCGGCTTGGTGTCCCAACCGCAGGGTTTCAGCAGAATCAGGGCCAGTCAGCTGGCAAGCTGCAGATCCGACAGGCTCCTTGTTGGGGACTGTCACTTGCACCAGATGAGGGTATGTTTATTTCAGGACTCTAAGAGTTTGGAGTGACATGGTGGCCCAGGAAGGTCCCCAGACTTGGACAAAGGCATCTATTTTTAAAGCTCCGCTCCCCCTCCTAATAGCAACGGCCTCCAACCTACTAGCGATGGCCTCCAACCTACTAGCGATGGCCTCCAACCTGCTAGCGATTGGCCTCTAACCTACTAGCATTGGTTTTTGCTTGCATGAGGGGGCCCCCCCCTAGCACAGGTGGTGGGGAAGGGGCTGAGCGGCGAGGTCTGATGGCAACCTAGAGAGACGTGAAAAGCATGCGGATCAGGAGAGGATGTCCAGGATGTAGCAAGGAAAGGCCAACATCACCGCCGACGAAGTCTGGCCTCTCGGGCAATTTTTGTTGCCAGCCTTCAAACGTTTCTGAAATTCTGAAGAACATCCATGTCGTCACAGGGACCTGCCAGGTGAACAGGCATGTGGTATGGTCCGGATGCAGATCGATGCGAGGCCACCAGTTGTAGGTGCAAGGCCTAATGCGCTTGTGAAACTCTCCTTGGAGGACAAAGGCAACCTTGTCTTGTTGTGGAAAAGTCGGTCGGCGCGACAGGCCAAAGACACATGTGCCCGCACCCTGGCGGTACAAGGAACAAATGCGAGCACGATGGACGTACTCGGGAAGCACGCACTCACCACACAGGGAGACTACCGGGCCAAAAATGGTAGCAAATTGTGTAGCGCATCCATTCCAAGTATAACTAAACGCAAGTGCTTCAGACTGCGATCGAGCCCATGCGAAGGTGGGATTTGGTCCCTCGGAGGGGCGATGCAGAGGAATATAGCCATGCGCATAAAACATAAAACTCAAAACAAGTTCCATCCAAGAAGCCACAACGTGAGTGTGCTCCGGGGCAGAAGCAGGATCAGCCTGTGGCCATCGGAAGCGGCTAAGCCATTCAAGTACACATTTCAAAAGGGCGGACCCCCAATAGGAGTGTTTAAAGAACTGTGCACTTCTGATAGCCAGCAAACCATAAGGCTCCTTGGATCCATGGTCTATGTGGATGCCCCTGAATGGCCTCCAACCTACTAGCGATGGCGTTTTGCTTGCAGAAAGGCCCTCCCTGGCTCTGGTGGCGGGAGAGGGGCTGTGTGTCGAAACGTTGCGGCCGAGTGAAAAGCCATGCACAGCGGAGAAGACAGAGAAGAAGTGGAGAATGAAGAGGATGACAATGATTTTCTGGCCATTTGAGCTGTGGATCACAAGCTTCCAGCATATTGACTCTTTGAATCAGAAGCAACAATGCGTGTGGGATCGGAATCTGGTTCCCCATGCCTTCAAATCCTTGGGTGTCCAGAAGCCACTCCATGCTCCATGAATGAGAGCGGTCTCAGCAGGTGCCAAAACCTCATTGCAGAAGTGCCTTCCTCCTGCAACCAATGTGCAAAGTATCCTCGAGTTTCGAAGAGCTCCCCTTGCAAAAGATGTTGGTTGCCGAATTGGGCCATGAATGTAGGCAAGGATTTGTCCTGTGGGCCAAAGACATGAGATCTGGCTGCTTCACCAGCAGAACACCTTTTCTGTTGCTAGGTTCTTCTCTCCAAAAGAAAGGTTCGGGCCTGAGCTAAAGCTTCATCTGGGACTTGCAGTTGACTCAAAAAAGTTAAGGGCCACGACATGATACAGTCAAACTCCTCAAGATAGCCGGCCATTTCAAGTCCCCTTCGTGAACCATATAGGCAACACCAAGCCACCGAGGTCTTCTTGTGGCCATAACATCACCCAATTCCAGGACATAGGAATGCTCGGTGTGGGTGAGCATGAAATGCCGCCACTTGTGAGGATGACCCTAGGCCGCAGCACTTTGCAGAGCGCGATGCTTCTCAACAGGAGCTGGCCATTGCTACAATGCAAGCCACGCTGTTGTGCAGCGCCACTCCAGGGTGGGCATGGTGCCGAAATAGTGACAACCTCTGCTCCCCATATGGCCGCTGCCTCGAACCAGGCTGGATCTGTGGCATCAACACAAAGGCGCCAGCCTTCAGGAAAAGCCGAAAGCGCAAAAGGCGGAGCTCGTTGCCTTCCCTTGCAGCCAATAACGGACAACGATGCGTCAAAACATATGTTCTTGCTGTATCAAAGTCTATCCCCACTGCTCCTGAGATAATGTTCAGTCCCAATTCAGACAAAATCTGGCCAGAAAAGGGCCAACCCCCAAGCTCCACCGTAAAGATGGAGAGCTGGCACAGGTTCTTCAGTTCGCTTGCAAGAACACAGGTATGCTGGTCAATGGCTAAGTCTGCAACTGAGGTCTCTGGTGGGTATAGCAATGCTGCATCCCAAATCGTGCACTCACCAGAAAAACCTCGCAAGCGCAAGTTGTGTAGCACAGCTCGTTGTGTATCTTGCCATTTGAGCCGGAGCTTTCGATATCGGCATGTCGTTTCCAATCCAGAGAGAATCCAAATGCACCTGGGCAAGGCTTCGTCCAGCGGATGCGAGATGGGATGCTTCAAAGAGCCATAGATCACTAGGATCAGCCAATCCAAAATCCTGTACCAAAACGCTCGGTTTCTCAGGAAGATCACCGTGTGGATCCCCCCAGAGAGCAAACTCCCCCAGGATGGATCGAATGCCAGCTTCCAATCCAGGGTCTGCCGACCTGGCACAATGAAATGGCAGGGCCCACTTGGTACCCCCTATCCGGAAGGGGGATCCGCCAAGACGCACTCGTGAGGAGGCCTGGGTCTGAGTGGCTACTAGCGACGGCCTCCAACCCAATTGCGATGGCCTCCAACCTACTAGCAATGGCCTCCAACCCACTAGCGATGGCCTTCAACCTTTTTAGCGGTTGCCCCAAAATAAATAGCCACGGCCTCCAACCTACTAGCGATGGCCTCCAACCTAACAGATACATTTCAACCCACACAACAGTTGCTCACGGCTGTCCGTCAGGAGCGCAGTCAACGCTGCGTGGCTCTTCGCTGTAGTTTTGCTCGGGCGGAAAGTCCGCTCGGCTCGGCGGGCTCGTGGAGGCGGCGCATGGCTCGCATGACGCCTCATCAATCTTGGGCCGGTGAAGAACTGTAAGACATTTTTTCTGAGAGGAAGAACGGTCCATTCAAATGACAAGGTTAATAGCAACATATTATTGAGTGTACACATTTTTTTGGATAATGGTCTCTCACCCTTTCTTTCTCTCTCTCTCTCTCTTCTCTCTCTCTCTCTCTCTCTCTTGAAGCTGGACTGCAACTAGTGTTTGGCTGACCAGGCAGTGAAAATGAGGCATCCATTATGAAGGCCCCGCAGAACCTCTACGAACTCCTAGGTGTGCAGGATGATGCGAATGCAGAATCTCGTCTCCACAAGCCAGGTTGAGGTATTCCCAGGGGAACACTCCCTCCGTATGATGCGGCTACCTCTAAAGCCCTACATATGGCTGCGGCACAAAAATGCACGGTTTTTTTGATCCTTTCAGTTTTGAGACTTGCCCATCTCCTTGGAACAAAGTTGTGCCACTCTGAGTAGATGCTGGGGACTGGAAGATCTTAAGGATGAGATCAAGAAGGCTTACCATGACAAGATGAAGATTTGCCATCCGGACATCGCTGGCGATGATGGACTTGAGCTGAGGATTTTCCGCCGTAGGCGAAAACCGAGGCAGTCCGCTGAACCGAGGTGAAGAGATTTGCATATTGCTCAATGATGCATATGACCTCCTCTCTGATCCAAAGGAAAAGAAGGCTGGAGTGGGATATATATATATATATATATTTGTTTTTTTAAAGATCCGACATTCAGCGACTTCAGACTTCTTCCGCACGGCAGAGATGCGTGTGGTAAAAGAGCCAAATCATACACCTAGGAGGCAGTTAAAGCAATCCTTGCGAGTACCAAGCAACCTGCAGCTGAAAAGAGCCTACTTCGAAACAGATGGATGGTGAAACAACCCAGGAGTCACATCCTTGCGGCAGTGCATAGTATAGGTACTCTAGTAGGTGCTCTGTTTGTGCAGACAAGTTCAGGGAGCCTTTTGGCTTGAGCTGAAGGCATACGATATCGAACTGCATGGTGCAAACGGGATGCCCAAGCCAGTGCAGATCTCAGTCAGCACGCTAGCTGGTGAACATGCTAGCACCCAATCATCCGAGTGGTCATCCCCCTTCCCGATTTTCAATGGACTCTGGACCCTCAACCGCAAGGGTCTTGTTTTCAGTAAGGTGCTCCTTCTTGAGCAGGACATGGCACCAACATGGGCCGCCTGGCTGCCAGAAGGGGCACTCAGTCCGCATTCCACGCGCGCTTCCACTGTTCTTATGAGGAGTGGACCTCAAAGGCTGGCAACAAGAAGATGCACCTTGAACAGCATGAATCAGTTGGTCCTCATGCAAGGTGGAGCTTCAAACTATTTGGTGTGATTAGGGTTAAACAGTGACGCGTTTGAGGAAGCCAGTCTACAATGGACGGCCGCTGTCACGCTCCCTCCACCGTAAAGTCCCACCAGAAGATCAAGGTGAGAAGTGGAACGACGAGAAATTTGCCACTGAGATTTGCACCGTTGGAGTTTTGCTCCGGTCGGTGTCTCTGTCATGGAGTTTCGCTACTGGCTTTGTAGCTAAGGTTTTTGTTGATGAGTGGACCTGCATCGCATGTCGCAACTGCACCCGCCTTAGGGAGACATGGCCAAATCCGGCATCGATACAATGTGACAGTTTGCACGGAATCTGGTTAGTTGCAAAGCTGGAGTTTCCGACTGAGAGGGTCCACCTTTGATGGTGCTAAGTTACGGTGCTAAGGCTGCGATGTTGCACCCCGAACTTTTTGTATCGATGCAGATGCAGGGCGTGCACGTGTGTCTTGGCAAGTGGAGCTGAGTCTAAGAGTGTGGCATTCTGTTGTTTCACCAGCTTTGAGAATCTCATGAACTTGCCGAGCACCCCGCATCAGCCCAATTGTTCTTTGAGATGGAAGGGTGGTGGCGTTGCCCTCCGGTTCCGCGTGTCAGCATTGCCCCAATAAACCCATGGCACACGTCAAGAAGCTGCCGACGATGCCAGCCCAGTACATGACATAGTACAGCTGAGGTCTTCGCACAGTGGGGCAACAGCGAGGAGTTGCTGGACTATGCTGTTGTTGCCCGAGTTCTGCTGTTTTTGCGTTGAATGCCAAGCAAAATGTGCGCGCACGCCCGGACTTTTGGGGGAACCACCAAGCCAAGGTGCAAGCTTGTCCGGTTGACTGCATCTACTGGGTGAGTCGGGATGAGCTACAAGTGCTGGAGTATGTGACGAGGGACCGCCGCTGGACATGTGAGGAAGATCCTACATAACCCTCGCAGCCCGGTGTTCAAAGACACTGACACTAAACCCCGTGAGAACTTAGGAATGTTTGAGAATGGCAACACTGTCCCGTGCTCAATGGCTGCTCGTCAGGGTACCGGCGGAGGTGCCTTGGCGAAAAGCGGACCGCTGGGTTGGACTTGTTCCCAGTCCACACGAACCCATCAGACTTTGTAGAGCTTTTGGGGATGCTGTCTTGGAGGCCTGGAAGATCCCTTCACTATGGCCACAGACTTCAAAGCAAAACTGGAGGAAGAGGCAGAGAGGAGGAAGCGGAACCAGCAGCAAGGCGGGCTGCTTTGGAGCAATGCATTTTTTGCATTTACCGGCTTCTGTTCAAAGAGAACTATACAATGATAACTGATAAGAGTTTATCAAACTTGTCAATGTATACACGTTATGTTATGTGTAGTTGTGCTCATCCTTGCAGTACTTGCAGTGTTTAGGAGAGGTTAGCGCATCAATCTCGGAGATGCAAGAAAGGTCCGCCCGGTGGAATGATGACGAGTATGTTTCTTGCAAAGTCTAACGAATGCATGGAGATTCTCCTTTGGGAAGTTTCAGTAGCAACAAAAAGCAACTGAGTCAGCTGCATGGCAGACATGGCAGGATTCGGGTTCTTTTCAGCAATCTCAGTGAGAGATTGCGTACCGCTGGCTGGGGATGAGCGCTTGAGCCGCCTTGGCGGTGGCCATCGCTTCTCCGCGTAGTGCCCATTCACAGCCATGTAACATCAACACCATTCATGCTGCAAGGTCTGCCTTCAGAACAAGGAGGCTTTCTTTGTTTCAGATGGTGTGTGCAGAGCACAGGGCTTCTCTTGGGATCCAGTGACAGGCCCCTTTGAGGGAGGCCAGTCAGTGTGAGGCTGATTTGTTGGGAATCCCGAAGGAACACAGGGTCTTTTGACCCCGCATCCCACAAACACTCAGCGTATCTCGGCGTACATTCACACATGTGCACACACACACACACACCGTCATGCGCACCTGTCTCAATCTCACTCTCTCACTCACTCACTCTCTGTCTCTCTCTCTCTCTCTATTAGTATACATGCTTTTCCTCAGGGCCTGCTTGGCGCCCAGATGCCCAACATGATACAAAAATTAAGTCACTTGTCAGCTGTGCTGCTGAGCCTTTTTTGAAGTGACAATGTGAGGGCCGCAGCTAATGGCTTGGGATCCAAAGCCGGAACAGCTTGTTGAGCCTAAACTCATTGAGAATCTTAGTTGGCCAGGATGCTGGGGTCAAGTGGAGGGACATGCTTACAGATGTTGAAGCCATAACTCCCAGCATTTTTGATGGCACTTTTTCCTGGGCACGCTCACGAAATTGAGCGTTCAGCGTTGAGAATGCAGGAACTGCATGGATTGTAATTCTCATTTTTGTTTTCCGTGAAAAGCAGCAGCTCAGCACATCGTCCCGCAGGGACACGTGTGCAGCAACGGTTCACTTCTACCTCTGCAGAGTTACGGCCAATGTTTCTATTGATTGACAGCAGAGGTGGCAGCGGTAATTCATTTGGGCATTCTTCCTGCGTTGAGTGCGTGTGCGAGGCATCCCATGCCTAAAGATCAGACAAGATCAGAGCTTTCAGCTCTCACAGGTTGAGGCTCTGGCTAAACCTCCAGAGTTTGTGATTGAATAAACACACCGCGTTTCATGGCCTACGGCCTATTATGCTTGAAGAGTCTGGCCTTTGCAGCCCTAGCTGTTGTATACCACGATCAAACCCGGGCTCTTCAACGATCAACTTCAGGTCCTACGCTGAAGAGGCGGAAGAGCAGGTCAGTCCCGCAGGCTGCGGGATTTTGTGGAGAATGACGCTTTGCCAAAGGATTGACATACATCCATGTGGAATGCTTGCAATGTTTGCAGCCACTTCGGTTTGAGTGGAAGCTGAAGGCTTTTCACTACCCTAATCCAATTCCACATCACTTGTGGACCCGCCTCCGATATACTGTATAACTCGTTCAAACGATGGGAGTGCTCTCAACACATTCATTCGGAAACATATGTATATATAATTTCGAATGAATTGGAAGTGTTTTGCCGGCTGGTACCGTAGTCCAGAAGCCAGCTTGGGATTTTTGCCAACAGTACCTCACGCCTCACCATAGCCTCTAGTGGTCCCAACAATAGCCACCGGTCCTAGCAGTAACCATGGAGAGCTCAAGGTCCAGGTCGAGGCGGGGTTTGAAGCTTCTGCGACTTGGATGCCTTGAATCGCGTGGCCGTGCCACATGAGATCGCACGCAGTGCATTGCTTCAACTGATCTTTAAGGACATCTCCGTTTTGTTGAGTGCCAGGTCAAGGTCGAATGGCCGAAGGGGCCATCGAGTGACGCTTGGCTGCCGAACCTCCACTGTTCGACGATGAGCCATGAGGATGTCCGGCACGAGGTTAGAGTGGCAGTATCACGCAAGTAGAGCGTCCTCACTTTTTTGTGGTTGGCTGCCTGTTTGACCAAGGATGCACGTACACTCAGAAGTCACAGGCTGCGCAGTGAGAAAGCCCCTAGGGCAGTGCGTGCCGTGCTTCCCAAGCCCAACGTTCATTCGAACATGTTCGTGGCAGGCGCCCTCATTGGAAGAGGTGGAGAGAAGATCAACGCACTCTGCAGAGAAACTGGCGCGAGAATTGAAATCTCTCGTGATGATGTTGGCCCAGAACCTTAGCCATGCTTTTTCTCTTTTTGTACTCCTCCGTCCGGATGGTTCAGCAATCTCTGTAATTTTTTTTACCAGTTTCCTTTTCTGGCACCTCCACTAGTGCACTGAAAGTCCTTTATGCTGATATTGGCACTTTGACAGTTGAAGGAGTTCTGCTGGATGATTTGCCGGGTTCCACACTTGTGAACTGGTGTACGATCCGAGGAGAGGACGGTCACTATTACTGGTTCGGAAGATGCAGTCGACAAGGCTGCCCGAGCTATTGAGGAGATTCTTAGCAACGATCGAAAATCATTGGCGCATCAGCCGGAGCACGAGAAGGTTATGTATGTCTCTGGAAGCTTTATTGGCAGCTTGGCAGCCATGTGCCATCAGAGCACGGAAGCCAGAAAATCTTTGAACACCAGAGCATCTGAGGTATGATCATAGGACGAGGAGGAGAGAGCATCAAAGCAATGTCACGGGAGAGTGGTGCAAAAATCGAGGTGTCAAAGGATGATGTTGGCGACCGAGATGCAGATGCTTGGATGTCCGCCTGTTGTGGCCTGTTGACTGGTAATTGGGCATTATTGGGCATTTGGACATCAAACACATTGACCTTTTGTTGCAAGATGTCCTCAGTCGGCGTCCTCAGCCGCCTTTGTAGTCTTCGATCCATTCTTCATCCGAGACTCCCGCCGCGTGTTCTGAGGACCGGAGGGTCACTATCCACGGTACGGCCGAGGCGGTGGAGAAGGCGAGCCAGATGATCCAAGACATTGTGTCACGCTCTGAAGAGGAACAGAACCTTGGGAAGATAAAAGACGATCAATGATAATTGTTGAAAGTAATATGGATCACGCAAGCAATGACAATAAACCAATAAGATGACCCTGTGGTCTTCGGAATTATGCTCATGTCATCCGTTGCACCCCGTTTTCTAAGGAGCGAGAGGGGTTCGGTGATCGAGCCGCCAGCTGGCTTTGAAGATTGTGAGCACGAAGATTGGCTCTACAATGCAACGACTCAAGAGTTCTTCAGCAAGAAAACCGGTGCGCTGGCATGGCTGAATGCTGGCATTTTTTGTCCTATTCGTAGCTTGGCTTCCAAGAGTGCCAGCCCGGAAAGCTGGGAAAGGATAGGTGTAGCAGCATAGCATGGCTAGCTAGGTCCAGCTAGGTTGTGGAGTCGTGGGCAGTTACCATCAGCGGCACAATCACTTAGCAGCATATTGAGGTGAGGGCATCAATCACCAAGACGTGCAAGTCTTTTCTGGCACTGCAGTGATCGGAAGTGATCAAGGCCCTGCCCCAAAGACGGCAATTATCCCAGACCTCCATCGAGTAGCCCTGGCTTTGAAGATGCCCTTTGATCACGTGGATCATCCCTCTGGGATGGTGGCAGCCTTTGGTTCAACGGAGGCTGTGCCCGTAGATCACGCCGTGCGGGGGTTCCATGAAAAGCTCCTGAGAAGGATTTCCTCATGGCGCAGTGCTTGGTTGGACCAGGCCTGGTTTGGAGCGCTCACAGGTGCAATTCTGGACCTGGTGAGCGGTAGCACTTCAGGCAGCTTGCCGGTAATGGGGGCCGCCCTACTGCTAGGGCGGAAGGTCATTGCCGTGTCGGCCCCGGGTGCGCACGTGTGCCTCATGCTGGGCAGCGAGGGCTGCGAAGCGGTGACGCCGATGGAAGCACAAGGCTCACTTTGCTGCTTCGCCAGCTTGCCGCCAAAGGGTGACAAGAATTCTTCGGTCTATGTCGCGGTGATCGCCGACGGCAAGGGCCAACTTGAACCGATTGAGGATTCAAAGATCTGCTCTGCTGTCGGCCCGCATCTCGACCCCCAGCACTCTGATACGACCAAAGAGAGAGAGAGAGGACAGAGAGAGGGAACAGTTTGACTGGAGACCTTCGCAGCTTGCCCCATCCCATCTCTGTGTTTCAGTCTTTCCAGTCAGCATCTAGCTGACCAAGGTCTTTGCATCAAAGACGCCCGAGGGCTGCTGCCTTGGCCCTGGCCCGTGTGGCCCGAAAGGCACCAGAATGATGTGCTATGGTAGTACTGAGATGGAACCAAGAAGATGTACTGTAAGAAGATTGTGTAAACACGGCAATTGGGCTTGAAGCGCGCTTTCTCACTGCTTGAGTGCCTTGCTGAAAGTATTTTGGGGCCTAACTGGTGTTCGCGAGATCGGCTCATCCAGCAGTCAGACTGCGCACTTGCAGGCTGGTTCTACCGGACCCTTGGCTTCGGCCTGTGCTTGTTTGGGTTGGGAGGCGCAGCCCTATGGATCACTTGCGATTGCCCTGGAAACGAAGGTGTTGGACGGATGACAGCAGAAGACGGGTGACAGCGACTGCATGTGCGCTTCGACGCGCCAGGACTCACCAGGCAAGAAATCGGATCCGAAAAGGCCGAGATCCGTGTCTTGGCATCGATCAGTGTCTTGGATGGGTGTTCCACATCGATCTCCTCGGGCTTTCCTTCTAAGGAGCAGCTGAACAAGGTGCGAGTTCGGCAAATCCTGATCCGCTTCTGGTCTGGCGCCTTGACAAAAGAAAGAGCTTGCTTGCCGGCTTGCCTTGTTTTCATTTTGCTTTGGTCAGTTCTGAAAACTGGACCAAGGTAAAGGTCCCCACCCGGTGAACCCGGTGAACAGAAAGCCAGTCACCCGGAGAGTTGACGAAGCAGAGATGGAGATGCTTGTGCCTTGGAGTTCTGGAATCGTTGCTGAACGATGGTCGATACCTTTGACTAGAAGGATGGCAGTGACAGAGAGTGGGCCCTAGTTGCATTTCAGACTTTAGACTAATGCCAATATCTCAGGAGATACTTGAACAGCTTATAGCTGAGAAGTGCCAGAATTTTGCCTCACTTTGCAAGTCTTCCTCAGAATGTGGATCCGCACTGCGGGGTGGTGCTGACAATGGTGACCTGGGATGGCTGGAGCGCAGAGCTTGCGTGTAAGTAGGGGCAGTCTCGTACCTTCGTGTGTGTTGGCGGGAATGATGATT